AGTTGTATATTGCTAAGAATAATGTTGAAAGAAAATGAGGGGAAGGTGTCTCCTTTTATTTAGCAGCGTATTTGTGACTGACTATTTTGCCAGAATGGGGAATGTGACGGACTACCTTGACAAAAAGAGCAGTCATCATCCTATTTTTGGATTATTATTGCACGCTTTGACTAGAAATTATGGAAAAGTATGGACTAAAGACTACTTTATGTGGCAAAATATCAGTCAAAATTATCCCTTTGCTATTTAGAGACACAATACCATATTACGGGCCAGTGGAACATCAAAAACTGGAAAGATATTTCGAGACAAAGATGACCAGTTTTGGGTTGGGGTGAGCGTTTTCTCCCCGTCATCAAGAGAAAAGCTTGGGTCGTCCACTGCAGAAGAAGCTAGGTTCATGAGCTCGCAGAGTAGTTCATGGTTGATCTTGAAACGAAGGGTGGAGAACCAAGACAGCTATCTGTATGTAAAGAGTGGATAGTTGTTTCAAGGCTAACGAAACATCCTGCAGTTCCATCAATTGCCGGATATCTCTACTACACCACCAATCGTTTCTAAAATTCCTTTAGTGCAACACGATATACTTCATCGTCGATACGCCATCTTGATTTAGGTGTACGATGATGTTTATTTCGAAACATGAACGTTAACATGGGATTTTCACGACTTAACATTTAAGACTTCTCCATATGTGACATTGCAAGTTCTGATGAGGACAAAATATGACCATATGAGTCTGGAATGGTTGAACCTATCAGAGATCTTAATAAGACACAATTATGTTCCATCAGATTCGATTTCGTGTCGTTGACAACGTTTTCTTGGATCGAAAGCAGAAACAATTATCCGTGAGTTGGGAAGAGGAGACAAGAAAACTTCAAGTAATCCGTCTGGTTCTACATAGTTAAAACTCGAGCTTCTTCGAGAAACCGTTTGGTGAACTGTCATGCTCAACATTAGCACAATGAGAACGCAGTGGCTGAATGCAGAAACCATGCTGGCTATAAATCATTCCATATATGATACTTCTGTACCATGGGACTTCCTTGTCACCAACTCGTACATGAATTTCCACAAAGGTTTCTCAATTTAACATGCATGGAAGGTGTTTATTCGTTCCTACATTTATCTCACACTGAACTTGGCATGAAGCTATGACCATAGGCCTTTGCAAGCAGGTTGTTCACCCTAGTGTCTATTTGACCTAGGATACACAAGCCGAACAGTGAACGTATTATCGAGCACAGCATGCGCCACGTGTTGATGAGTATGCTGATGACGATTGAAAACAGATTCTTTGTTGTAACAATTCGTAGACATGTCCCCATTGGACGACGCGGTTTCCAAAACCAATAGTTATTCTTCTCGTCAGGGCATGTGAACACGACATATGCGGATGTTCACAAAGATAGTTCATCCCCTTGGTTTCAAAATGGGTATATAACCTTTGCTGATCCCTTCTTTCAGTGACTTGTGGTTAGTACCCAATTCATTTCAGTTCGGCCACCACAGAAACAAACCGAAGAAGGTAATCGAACAGCTTGAACAACTCTCCCCCAAGATTCACAATGTCCACTCTCTCATTCATCTTCATTGGGCTTTGCCTCTCAGCAGCGTCAGCATGCACCACGCAATCTACACCATTCGACAGCAGTCTGATCGGCCTTCGTTACGGCCGAGCTGCCACATGTGGCCCAGCAAGATTCAACGCCTACTCTTCCGTGATCTTCGGTGCCAGTAACATAACACTATCCCCGCTCGACTCCAGTTTCAACCACGGAGGCACTCCCGCGGGATACGTGTGTGCTCGAAAGTTGATCTTCAAATTTGGCAATGTTCAACGACCGGAGCTGGAAATTCTGCCGCGCGTTATTATCCCCCCGGAGCTGGGCAATGATCAAAGCTATTGCGGACCGGCGCAACAGAATGGGAAGAAGACGGCTAGACCTATGGGACCTACAAGACAGACTTATCAGGACGCAGTTAGTGAAACTATTGCTGAAGTGAAGCTGATTCGGGACTACGGATGTGAAAGTGTGAATGGATCTCCGTTTCCGGTGCAGATTAATAACTTCAAAAACGTAAAAGCTGATGCGGCTATCACGTATTTGTATGGAATTGCACACAGGTACCGCTTGTGCTTGTAAGAATAGACAGTGCCTGGGCGAATTGTTGAATAATGGAAAGGATGAAAGGTTTGAGACCGGAGTTTTTGAGGTGTTTGCTACATGTTGAGCGCTCTTTGTTTTGCATTCTCATTGCGGCGAGTAAACGTAGATTAAGGAATGATAGCATTCCCTTGTTCTCTTACAGTATACATGCTTCGCGGATGTAAAAACTTTACCTACTCCGACTAGAAAAAGGAAGGCAGACGGAGGAAGGCCATCAATTCAAAAACCGCTACCAACGAAAAGTGAAAAAGACATAGCCACCACCGAGATTTGAACTCGAGACCTCTTGATTACTAGTCAAGCGCTCTACCAACTGAGCTATAGCGGCCGTAAAGTCGTTGAAAGTCAGAAGGGACTGTTGTATATTATACCAAATCTGCGAAACCGCTGTGATCTATGGGGCCAAAGGAGAACTTTGTGGGCGGTCGGTGCGCTACACTACTCACCATCCTTAGGGATGGTGAGAAAGCTTCTGCTTCTTCACCATTCCTGAGGATGGTGACCTAGAAGAATTAGAAATTCCTTTCGGGATTGAGCTGTAGGATCTTGGAGAATACGATTAGTGTCTTTTCTGAATAGTATAAGAGGGAGAAGAGCGCTTGGCTTCTTCTAGCTCTCGGCTCTTCTCTTCAACAAGGGATGTAAGGTAATGGCAACTGAGTCGATGGCCCTTTTTACTGAGCCTCTACTGCTCTGCTGTGGGCTCTTAAATACGCCCCCATACCTATCCCTTCGCGCTCGTTCGCATATCGTCAACACAGTCCTAATTACGCGACCGTTTTCATCACTGTGTCAGCGCCCCTTTGAAGGCATTCGAAAGTGCTCTGTTGCATTCTCCATCAGCAACTTCCTTTTCAACCCTTCCTTCACTTACGTCTTCAAGTAAAACGCAGTGTTTTTTCGATACTGGCCGTTGTCACCGCCGTATGGCGTGTTTTTTATAATTGGAGTTCATAGACATTATGCAAACACGTCAACTCGAAGAAGACCGGTGGAGTACCGTTGTACATGCAAATGGGGATGATGAAGTGATGTCTGCATGCGAGGACAGATGTACAACGATATCACGCTGTCCGCGTTGTACACCAAGTGTACATGACAAATGTGTACACGCGGTCAACATGGCAATGCTGTAAGCCATGACCGTGGCTTACTCCATGGTTCTCCCACTACGTGAAACATACGCACTGCGCATTGCGCAGCCACCGCGTGTGCTTCCTCTTCGCTGTCGTTGATGACGGCAGGACCCGATGCCGGCCGGCGCGGGTATGTGCAACTGCTGCGGGACAAACGGTAGTCAGTTTTAATCCCATAAGGTCCACACGAAGACATAGTTACATTGACGCCGCTGTAGCTCAGTTGGTAGAGCGCTTGACTAGTAATCAAGAGGTCTCGAGTTCAAATCTCGGTGGTGGCTTCTGCAATTCGCGTGTTCCTCACGCCGTCAAAATGGCTGTTCCTTTTTGGAGCTGGTTCTGGTGTCATAGCACGATTGCTGTTGCCAGTGTGCTGGTTTCCGAAATGAAAATAACACTGCTACTGGTAGCGTTGCGGAAAACGCTTGTTACTTTTTTGTTCATGGTAGACAACTCGTGTCAAGCGTCGTGTAGGTCGACGCGTTGAACGTGTATTGTGCGGAAACGGGTATCGACTGGAGGGAGAGAAGAGGTGCGAGTCTGGGATATTCGAGTGCAGAGGTGGTGAGCAGTGCTGCTGGACGAAATTGAGTGTGTGTGACAGGGGGTAATGGAGCAACGAAGGGGTGCTGTTATGGCACTATAGAATGTATGTGGATCTTGGCGCCGGTTTACACAGAATGAAAGCCCCTGCATATGCGATACGAATGCTGCTACGCTGGTTTCCGCAATGACGATGAAGCTACAGAGTAGCTTCAGGCACTTCCTTTTGACGTACATGTTTGTGTCGGCGATTGTATACATATGTCCACATATATGTGGTGAGCGTGTGTCTCGTGTGTGGGAAAGGAATGAAAAGGTTCACCAAGTATCGAAACCTTTCTTGAGCAGTGTAGCAGAACAACATGAAAGTGTGACAGAGAGAGGGAACAGTGGATGAGGTGCGAGGGGACCTGTAACCGATGTTCGCTTTCTGTAGGGCATGCATAGGCGTTTCTCCGTAACTCGGTTTTATATACTGTAATCCTGGACAGGCTGTAGTTTACAGTATACCGTCATACGGATGTAGTTTAGACTTAGGCGACGACGCTTCAGTAAACCGAGGCACCGAAAGTTCGGGGTCTGTTACAGGACCGCAGTTATGGCGGTAGCGAAGCTAGGTGCCACAGAGGAAACAACAGTACGTTGACAGTAGACGAGGGCAGGAACGACGAGCGTGACGGAACAGCTTGTTCCTTGAATGAACGTAAACTGTTTACGAGCAGGAGGTACAAAGGCCTGCAATTGCAACCACCAGGGTCTCGAGATCTGCGTGTGGGAGCTCACTACAAGTATCGCTGGACAAGCTCGCATCAGTGTCTGGCCGGACACTTTTGTAGCCCAGTCGTTTCACACTGCGCTGCGGAATACACGCGGACGGGACGACGACGTGTGGTCGTCCTCGCCCACGCATATTTAATATACGGGGACGAGGAAGACCACAGGGTGCTATTGTTGCAAGAAGCGACACGGGCGAAAACATGCAACGCAACTGGCAAGAACGAATGAGTGCCTTGCATTGTTGTAAATATGCAAAAGCAATAAGAACGGGCCAATGAAATGGGAACAGCTGACGTCGCCGCGATACAGCGACTAAAGTACGGGCGGAGAGTGCAGGCGCAGCAACGAGATTCAGATGCGGCACTCCTCGGCGTCTATGGTCTAGGGGTAAGATTCTTGCTTTGGGTGCAAGAGGTCCCGGGTTCGATCCCCGGTAGACGCCCTTCACGGCAGCATCGCGTCACGAGATGCGGTCATGGGTACACTTTTTTGGGTTGTGTGGACTTACGATGAGTGGGCGCTTTGTGTTTGTGCTGTCGTTTGGCATTGCTGCGCGGCATGCGCAGGCGGTGGGAGAGATGGATAGCGTGACGTAATCCCTGTTGCTGTCGAGCTGCGTGGATGTGGTGCCTTTGAATGATGCGCTTATTTAAGACGCGGTGGGCGCCGAGGTCGCCGAGGACCTGGGTGCCAGCCAACTGGTGTTTGCATGAATCAGTTACCGTTTCAAGAATGGGAAAGCACGCAGTTGTGGTCGGTATCAACTACAAGGGCTCCGGCAATGGCGAACGTAAGTAATGCATTTCTTTTTCGCTACTGTGAACGCAGCACGTTCTGACCCTTTTTCTCTCCACCAGTCAAGGGGTGTACAAATGACGCGGAGACAATGACCAGAATTCTGCTGGAGAAGGGATACAACGTGGCTACGCTATCGGACGGGCATAGCAAGTGGTACAAGCCGACGTACGAAATCATCATGCTGGCGCTTGAGGACCTGATCAGCAACAAAAAGGCCGGAGACAACCTGGTGTTCTATTTCTCCGGGCACGGCACGCAGGAGAACGACGGCGGCCGCGACGAACGCGACGGACTTGACGAGTGCATTGTGAGCAGTGACTGGAGAGCCATCTCCGATAATACACTTCGCGATACGTTTGAACGCGTTCCAGACGGTGTGTCATGCACGGCCATCATGGACTGCTGTCATTCCGGCACGTTGTTTGACGGGCAGCATCGTCTCATTCACGGCGATAAGAACCTGGACAGGTCCTCGTCTTCGGCGCGCTTGCGCCCAGAGGTCAGTGCGCCGTTGAAAAAACCCGCGACCACGAACACGCGTTTCATACCGTTGTCGCAAGTGGAGGAGCAGTACAACAAACTTCACGGCCATCGCGACACAATGGCGCGCTCAGCTGACACGTGCGTGGCGCGATCAATGGCGCTGCCGCAGCGGCGCAAGGGGCGCAGGGCGGACACGACGCTGCTGCTGAGCGCGTGCGAAGAGGGGGAGAAGTGCTTGGACGTGGCGCCGCACGACGGTACCGCGCCGTTTGGCCTATTCACGAAGGCGCTGGAAGTGGCGTACCGTCAGCGACGGAGCGCGCGGTACGACGAACTGGTGTGGGAGGTGCGGCGCATGTTGCGGGTGGCCGGATTCTCGCAGAACCCCTGCCTGGAGGGCACGCGCGCCATGGCGTCCGTCGCGTTCCTGCAATGAAGTAACGAGTAGGTAGGGAGGAGGGAGCGTTGTAACTAACCAAGATTGTTGCGGTCAAGAGACAGAGGCGTCGACGGACGGCCAGGTCACAGTCCTTGCTAACGGGCAACTAAAGACCCAAACCCTACTGGACCCCGTAACCTAGGTACAGCACACCCAGACACAAGCTTCTATTCTATTGCAGGGATCGGCATGCTTTTGCGGTATAGCGATGTGGTGCACGCTTCACTTTGGTTAGTTAATCACATTCGTAGACTCCTTTTGTCATATATAAAAACTACAGCTATGCTATCAATAAAACACCTTGCAAAACTTCTTTAAACCCACGAAATACTATATGACACATGTCACAAAAATGGCGGAACTTTCTGCCAATTCAAACCTCTTGCCTAGTGTCATAGTCAAAACGACTAGGTCACATGTCCGGTGTGAACTGATGATAGTCGCAGCTGGTACACGTATATCAACCACCACACCTAGCACTTAGTATTAGTGACAGCAAACACTGCGTTGCTTGTCTATCCCAACTAAGGCCCGGTACAGATCGGGTTCAGAAGGAACCCCTGAACACAGGTATGAAACTATGCCATTGTTGCTATTGAAATGATTCGTATACAACTGCACACGTTGTGCTACACGTTGCCTACAGTTGCGGCGACGTTGTGTCCTCCTCATACTGCGCGTTGGCCGGCGGTGGGGTGCCGGCGGTGGCCATGACAGACACGAGCGGGCGGTCGCTGTCGTAACTGTCCAAGCGCACAAAGGCGGCGGCGCGGCCGCCTACCACGCCGGCCGCTGTGCTGTCACCGCCAGGTGGGTGGCAAGTGCGCGTTGCCCAATGCATTGCGTTGTTCATGTCGTACAGCACGCCGCGCTTCAACGCCGCCATGGCGACGAAAAAGAGCACGCAGCAAATCCAAAACAGCAGCGCCGTCACAAACGTCCACCCCTTTATCATGCTCACTTCGCGCCGCTCGACTTCAAACTCGCAGCGTGCCGTTTGCGATTGCAGAAGCGTCTGTCGTCGCAATTCCAGTTCCTCCAGTACCGATATTGAGTACAGCTGTTGTATGTTTCTGGCTATCCACCGCAGTCGTGCCGCGCGTAACGAAAAGTGCACGTGCGTAACGAAGAAACTTGCGTTGGCATTTCTCGATGATCGTCCGTCGTACGGCTCGGATATCAGCAGCGTGTTCTCGTCGGCCAGTAGAACGCTCACACAAAAGTTCTCCTTGCAGAACGACGTCATTCCTCTTTCAAACGGCGAGCGCAACTGCCTGGCATTCGGGCGGTAAGAATACACGGCCTTCTCCTCACACTGCACCGCCCCGTTGCGCGCGCTGTAGTTTCCCCCCCGAAATGAAAACGTCCCGTTTCGCACTTGCACGCAGGAGAGGCCGATAGCTTCTGCGCCTCCATCAACGCTCAAATCAGCGTTTCCGCGCTGCACCGCGCTGTCAGAATCGAACCTTCTTCTCTCAATGAGCCGTACACACGGCTGCGATTGGTTCCGAGTGACAAAGTCGGTGTGAGTGTTAGCGGACGTGAATACCTCCACGCTGACGAAACACGCCGTTGCAAATACCGCTAACAGTCGGCTTCGTATCCGGTGTCGCCGCACGCTTATCAGCTTGCCTTGGCGTAGCGCGCGGCTTTCTAGGAGCGCGTTTAGAGTGAACAGACCGTGAAGGCACGCCAGTTCTACCACCACGCTCGTCAGTGTCACCACCAGGCTGAATATGCTTGCTCTCAGCGGTATCGTCACCATTGATATCGGCCTGCCTTACGTTCAGCACCCCGGTGAACACAGTTGCGTGCTAGTCAGAGCACAGCTGTTTACAACTGATGCAGCTTTCTTCATCGCGCTCGCCTCGCCGAGACGCGCAGCTCATCTTTGACAGCGACTAAAGTAACCGACACACGCTGGCGAAAGCGAGCGTGTGCGGCAAGAGCAGGCAACAACGTGTGCACCACGCTCGCTTTTGCGAGCGTGGTGTAGATGTCGTTGCTTGCTCTTGCCGGACGAGTATAAGTTTGCACTTTTTCACGCTTCCCACGTACGAAGGGATTGCTACCATACGGTAGCGCGTATGTGTTTCTACACACAGTACGATGCACTTCGGGCGCTGCCGTCTCCTAGAACGCCTGACACCGCATTTGACGTCACCCTCGCTCCCCAAACAAACAAAACTGTCCAACCCGGTAGATCTCTCAGCGCCGCCGCCAAGATTTATATCCAAGTTGATATTCACCATCACACATTCTCCAACGGAAGGTTGGCGCCACGTGCGTATTCATAGCCGTATTATCTGGGGCCATATCGATACCAGCAGCACGACGCAACAATGCCCACCTCCAGCTAATCTTGTCCATGCGTGTATCTATTTAAACCCTTACCCAAAACGTTTACACCTTGCTGCCCTGGCTGCAAGAAAATGGGCTCGGAGGTCCCACTCCTGCACCGTTCCGCTGGTGCCGGTGGCCTGCCACCATCGTAACGCTCTAAGCTATTCTTCAGCGACGGCGCAAACGGCGGTGGTCAGCACTGTGGACCAAACCCAACTCCAGAAGGAGAGCGTACCTTTTGGAGATGATGAGCACATTCGGGTGGCGCGTTTGCCCCTTAAAACTCCTCGAGCCTTCATCAATAGACTTCGTCGCTCTCGCCGTTGGTGTTTGTACCAGCTCGGCGGAAAGCGACACCAGCAATTGTTGCTGCTTTCCACGCAATCGCAACACTACATACGTATAAATCTATGAACAGACGCTAATACTTGTGCTTCTGGCCGTACACAAGGAACAGTGACCTTATGTGTAACCGGAACAAGGCATCACGTTCATTCTAACACCTCCTCTTGCCTGTTGGAAACATGGATATCCCTTACTCTACTCTAGAGAGGAACGCTTTCCTTGCAAACCCGTTTCGCAGCTACAGGTTTAAAATGTAAAACCTTTCTAACCCCTTACCCCAGCCTCACAGCGTCGCAATCGTTCCTCGAGATGGATGTATGGACAGAGGTAGCAATCACCCCCGTCATGCGTTTCACGTATTGAGAACCTGTTGCTTCTTGATGGGCGCACTTGCATGAATCTTGCTTCATCGTATCGTTTCGGGCCATTTATGAAATCGGTTTTCGAGGTGTAATTTAGTGTACGACTTGCCCCGATTCACTTGCAACAGCGTTCTTTCTTGAACAGTGCTTGGAGAAGAAAAGAGGAGTATGCAACTTAATCTATTTCCTACAGCAATCATGTGACGGCTTCGTCGTCACCACTGCTCCGTCAATTCCTGGTGTTGAACGCAAGAAAGGCAAGCCTCCTGCCAACTGCCGGTAGTCTTCTGTGTGAGTGACATTCAGAAAACACAGTATTGCCTTTTTCTCCTTTGAAATTCGTCTTCTTCATCCCTGTTCTTCAGCGGAAGACCGCAGAGCCTTACTATATGTCGCTATCATCATCCCTAAGTGTCACAGATGGACTGTACCTGTAGATAGCGACCGAGAGGACCTTATGAAGGATACTGGTGGTATAGTTGGTACCGGCCTCACTTCGAGCTGAGTCTCCAAATTCCGGTGCTGCCTCATCGAGACAACATGTAGGATATTCTGTAACAAAATGCATCCCAAAGTATCTAATGGACCATGATGTAGGATTATAGGTTTGAAAAACTCCTCGCCCGCGCGTCTACGTGTACAAACCAATTGCTGATTTACTCCGCAACTTTT